CACACACAATCTCGGACCCCCCTCCTCAGCGCTTCTGGAAAGCGAGAAAATCCAATCTCCTCGCCGCAAAGCAAAGAAATCTGCTTTGCAGTTGATCCATTTCCATCACCCGAGAGCATCGTCATACAGGGCTGGCTTCCCTCCTCGTGAATCTCCTCTTTCCCCCGCAACCCCCCTCAGCACAGCAGAGACGCGAGCAATCCTTTCATCCCTCACTTTCGTGTGCAAAACTTCGCACCTCCCGCACGGCGGCGTCCCAATATTTCCTTTGCGTCCGCTCAAGCTGCTTCTCGAAGAGACTGCTTACCATTTTTGTGATCAGATCATCCAGCTACTCTTCCTCCAAAAAGGACACAAGCCCCGTACCACCGATAGGCAGACTAGCTCGTGAGCTACGACGGGGGCGCGCCATGAACTTCTTTCGCGCAACAGCATTGGCATGCTGGCTAGCCTTGTGAGTTTTGAACAGGAATTGAATGGGAATGTAAAAAAAAGGCGGTAAATTGGATATGGGCCATTCAGTCACGCGGCTTGTATTAGTCTAGTCGCACGCACACACACAGTCTAATGACAACAACGGCCTCTCCCACTTTTTTTTAATCGCGCGCCACGCCCCGCCGGGGCAAAATGCACAGGAGTTTGAGCATCGTATGCGATGCCTTCCCACTCTCTCGACATTGGCCCGTGCGACGATCTGTCGAGCTGAACGTTGTTGATCGTCAGCAGCAACAAGCAGGACGACAAGGACTGGAAAAACGTCTAGTAGCCGTAGGTTCGCTCACCGAACTGGGTATACAAGCCGGCATGGTCGGCATGGGCATCGGTACGAGTGCGGGCGAGCTAAAGGGGATAGGCGGCAAGGTGAATGAAGCGTTGAAAAAGGCCAATGAGGGAGAAAACAATGTGGAGCCAGAGTATCCAAAGGATAAGAATGGACATTGTCCCAATTGCGGGCCCAAGCTATCGGATCAGGTGGATTTGGATGTGGAGCAAGATGCGATGCGAGCAGCGATGGGTGCAGAGACTGGGCGTATGAAGGAGGCGAACACCAAAGCTCAACAGGCATTGGATGCGCAGAAAGCAGCTTTCAACGATGCGCTCGACAAGTTGGCAAAGACGCAACCAGAAAAGGTCAAGAAGATCAAAGCTTACCTCGCTGCTCATCCCAACGATGCCAATTCCAACGACATCATGGCCATCATGCAAGGCAAATGAGTTGCTCCCTACAGCCGCACCATGCGCACCCAAATACGTCTCTTGCGTTTCGTCCTATTGTGCTCATGCCCACATTGTACCTCCTAAACACGTCCGCGTCTGAAAAATCCTGCTTGACTGCAGCGTCCCCCCTCATTGGATGTCCAGCCTTGCTTAACATTCCGGTTTGCAGGTGTGCAAACTCCAACAACACGGCCATGGGTCGACGCTTAAAAAGGATGAGAAGGCGAATAGTATTGAGCGTCGGGGATATACAAGATGAAGGTGTGATGGGAGGTGCTCGAACGCAGAGAAGCCAA